ATGTAATTAAACTTCAAACTTGAATGGTTGAGAACAAGCGAGGAAATTTATTTGGTCTCTGTTTGAAAATGTAACTAATCAGATTAATGATTTCTGTTATTTGATGAAAACATCAAAACAATGTATACTATACTTGAAACCTTAGGTGTTACTGTTTTACTTGCTAGTCGGTGAACAATCGATGACGCGAACTTGACTTATCAATGACTGATCGTTGATCGATGCAATAAAGCTTATTTGACTCATCTCACAGATTTTATCTGGCAGTTATCGTGACAACCGTTATCGATCGATCAGTCAATTAATTTTATACCTATCTGATATAACTTCTTATGTGAAACTACCTCCGCAGTATTTACATGCGATAAACACCACTAGTAACCAGAATTTAGCTTAAACGGCCAAATAGGTATTTAGTAAACCATCTTTAAAAAGATTACAGGAATACTGAATCAGATTAACAAATATTAAAAACGGTTTTCTATCTTATTCAATCAATTTTAAACTATTGTAATACTTGTCAAATAGATTCCCTTGCGGTCATTCAAGTTATTTTAAGACCCAGTTAACCTCCGTCAAACTAATAAGCCACGCCCCCGTTAAACTAGTTCAAACTGATGTTAAGTCCTGTTTAATTTTAAAGAGTCCGCCTCCTTGTAAGGTAAATCACTCAAGCAGAAAAGAAACCCCGATAAATATATCTATAATCGTCTGTCCATTCCAAACGTAATTGATTTTTGTTAGATAATATATCTCTATCAAATATTCCCCTTTAAAAATGCGTATCAATAAATTAAGTAAATTATAGTTTTGATACAAGACTTCTTTTAAAATGCTGCAAAAAAAAAAAAGAAAAATTTTGAATAAAATTTAAATATCTAAATAATATAATTTAAATTTGTCCACATGTAGATTAATTATATTAAGTAACTTATAATTGAAAATTTTCAGTATTTTCCAAACAAGTCAGAATTTCTCTCTGTACGTGTCAGTTTAATGTTTAACCTTTCATTTCGGTCGAACAATCAACGCACTAACGTGACTTATGAATCAAATGTTAGACTTGATTTTTATACGATCTGAATATGCTTGATACATATATGAATAATTGCCACTGGACGTTACATTAACATAGATAAATTTAAACGAAGCGCTTTACCAAAACAGGATCTTCCATGTAATTGCAATGAACTAGTTCAAAAAATAATCAGTTTCGAACTTTTAGAATTTCATATCATTGATTTTTTTTTAATTTATAAAGACAAAATCTATATAGCTTTTCACAATCCTAGTATTCATGTTGCCAAGTATAAACTAATTATTTTGCATGAATATCTAAAATTGAGAATGGAAATGGGGAATATGTCAAAGAGACAACAACAGTAAAGCCAAATCATATCGTTTTAATTTATTCATCAAGACATTTCCATGTCAACGCGCAACAGTTAAGATTAAACCGTATCAATTCCTCAAACAGACAATTGTGAATACGTATTTGGATGACCTGTTCTAATACACAGGAACTGGTACGAGTTTATTAAATTAGCAATTTAAAAAGTCATCACACGATAAAACTTCGTACTATGTCAACACATTTGAAGATTCTCAAGCAAACAAACTGCTACACAAAAAAATGAATTTTAATTCATGTATTGATTATCACGTGTTCTCTAATTATCTTTATCAATGAATTTATTGTCTATGCAGCCGGCACTTAAAAACGTTATTTGTTCCAATTGTTCAGGTTTCCAAATTCATGTTTTTCGTATCAACTTTGAAACGTACTGTCTAGACATCTTTTAAACGAAACCGAGATGGATCTTTCAAAACCCCAAAACTCAAAATCCTACATTCATCTATCATGATTCCCGTTTACGATAGCCAAAAAAATTCGCACTTTACACTTCAATATACTACCGAAATCTATTTTGGAAAGTGTGTTAAGAACACGAATCCATTTAAAAACAAAGGTTCCGTTGAACCATTATAGGGGTACATCCAACTTTACCATTTGAAACGAACTTAAATAGAGATTTATAACTTTTACAAAATTATGAGGGCACGTGTCACTGATTACACAACTACTCAGCCGTGAAAAATCCAATCAACAAAATTGATTGGATTATCCTTATTGCTTATGAATGTCATGTTATTAGAACAGTGTAAATTTAATTTAATTATGCAATATTTCAAAGTTCTTTCGGAATTGATTTATGTGAAGTGAATTTTAATAGAATGGAGAAAAAAAATCAAAAGTCCCATTCAATGTATTTTAATATGTAGTTTATGTGTAACGAGGACAGCTAAATTAATTTTGTTATTGTACGTTCTGCAGTTCTCGAGTAAAAGAAATAACAATTTATATTGTTGTTATATAGTTTGCCAATTACAAGTTCGTTTTTGTTGTTCAATGACATCAACTGAATAAACGAATATCAGATTTTATTTTATATAAAGTTTAACATACAAAGGCAAACACGTGTTGTTGTTTTTTTTTTTTTTTTTTGCTAAGTCTAATATCTTGGCAGAGTACGTGCTTTCTTTGGTTTGGCTAACGGGCAAGTTTCTAGTTTTTTTATTTATTCAAAATCTATGCACGAGGTCTTAGTTGTTATAAGAACGGACTGAGTAACATTCAACAGTCTTCGAAATTGTCTTTTTCGCTGTTCTTGAGGCTTGCAAAAACCAACATTGATGTGAAATAATATATTTTCTGTAAGACCAGAAAGTACATAATTTCCCATGAGCTTGATGTAAAACCAAATCTTACTACTTGTAAACGCTCTGAAAAAAGCAAGTAAATCTTATAAAAAAGAACTAAATCGAAGTTATAATGACTTCCTTAACGAATACCGCGAAAGATCTTAGAAAACTGGCTAAATCTGACCCAAAGCGGCTTTGGAAAAACTAAATAGTATAGATAACAACAAATCAAATAAAACTGATGCTGTTCAAATTGAAGATTTATATGAACATTTTCAACGTCTAAGCCAAGATGAAGTAATTGAAGACAACTCAGACATAGTTTTAACAAAGGTACCACCAGAGAACATTAACAGAATTTTAAATCTCCAATCACAGAAGAAGAAATTTTGAATGTCGTCAAAAAACTTAAAAACAATAAGGCTTCCGGATATGATAGTATTGTGAATGAACATATTAAACATACGGTTAAGGAAATGTTGCCCATCTATCACAAGTTATTCAACATTGTTTTAAATACTGAAAAGGTCCCAGATTCATGGACAATGGGAATTATTCAACCTATCTTCAAGAATAAAGGCAATATATATGATCTTAGCTCGTACAAACCAATAACGTTAGTGTCATGTTTAGGGAAAATTTTCACATCGATCTTAAGAGCCATTCTCTGTAAGCATCAAAATATGATGGAAACCAGTGGTCACAAATTTTCATAAAACTTTTTTAAATGAATGCTTAGTGATGTAGAAACATATTGGTCATAATAAAAAAATATGGTAATGTTCATTGCCATGGTAACTATAAAATTCATTTTCCGAAATTTACAGTAGAAACCTTTAAAGTCCAACTTAGTATTTCTTCAAAATGCACCGATAAAATCCCTTGAAATTAACAGAATACAAAGTTATCACATAATAGTTTGTATATGCCAAAAAACAGATATGTGTTATTTCAAATAAGAAAAATAATTCACCTTGGTCATATAGAAATTTGCTATCAGGAATGCAAACTTCTACAAGAGTTATTTCCCTTAGTACAACTCTTTTGTTGTTTATGTTGAAAATGAAAGTAGCTTCAGCAGCAGACACACGAAATGGTTTGCAATTTTAACACAAACTGCACTACAGATGAGTGTTCTGATGATGTAACTGATATCAACACATGTGATTGCAATGACAAAAATATAATTTTAACTGAATCTGGTCTTTTGCCAAAGAATTTTACTGATTTTTATATATGCTCAACCCATTTTAACCAATTATTGAAAAGAAACTCGGATTTGAGAAGGAGAAAAGTATGTCAGCTTCCTACTTTGATAAGTGCTCATCCTACAGTAGCATCACATTCTGTTGTTGGTGTTAAAAAGCCAAAGCCTAGCCGCAATATCACCATCAATGATGTAGAGAAAATTCAGAAGTGTTATGGCCTCACACTTCCTATTGGAACACGTAAGTTAAAAACTTAATTATATGTGACTGTTTATTCTTTTTAATTTCCAATTGCCTGTTTAATATTTTTTTAAATAACACTCTAGAAATACAAAAGAGCCCCTTTTTTGCTACCATTTGAATTTTTAGGGGGGGGGGGGGGGGGGGGTGTGGAGATTTTGTCCTGCACTTCTTTTAGTTGTAATCTGATATTATCTCTGTCTTGTCTTTTTATTTTTCACTCTATCTAGATAATGGGTCCTGTCTTATTATTTTATTAGTTTTATTCTGACTTTTTTTACATTATTTGTCATCCTGCCTTTTTTTTTGACAAAGTTCCTCATCCTGCCTTTTTTTCCTCAAAACTCATGATGCTCCTGTCCTGCCTTTCTTTTTTATTTTATCCTTAACCCCATAAAAATCAAATGGAAGCTTCCTAATGAGGGGAGGATCCTACACTTGAGGTACTTATTTATGTATATTTATAAAACTAAAAGAATACACAGACTTGGCTAGAAGAGCTGCTGATATGGGTTACATTTTGGAATGTCATATATCAGTGGGGTGCAATTTACATTCAATAGGTCATACACATGAACATGTTGATCTTTTCTGTTACATGTAAGTTGTCTGTAAAAACTGTGTTTTGATCTTTTCAATCTCAATATAAACATAACCATTGCTGTAAAGTTTCTATTAACCATATACATGTCCATGTATATATGTAAGTTTTCAGGAATGATCAGACCCATATGAGAAAAAATCCAATATATTTAAACAACCCATATGCCCTTTCAAAAAAAAATTTAAGAAGCACATTTCCAAATGATCAATACAGCCTATGTCAAGTCAATGCTTCTAGCTGCCTTATTAAAATTTCCAAGCAGTCCACAGAGATAGAAGCTGAAAGTCTGGATCAAGGAAAGTGTGAAGATGACCAGGTAAGGCAAACAAAATATTGTTTTAACAATCAGAGTATCTGTGAATTTATTTCCATTTTTGAATTTACATGTACAGCAAGCTGTATAATCATAAATATGGATAAAAAAAATCCAATGAATATCAACCATAACTGCTAAGTAAAATACACTTTATACAAATTCCATATAGGGTCAATGAACTCTTACCTAATTTACTGGAACAAAAAATAATAAAAAAATAGACTCAGACTTTTTACTTTGTAAACCTGTCTGACACCAGTATCAACTTTATGAACAATTTTGTATACAACAGAAACATTGCACCATAATCTGCTAAGATATAAGTCTTTGGCATATATGTTTATGCTTGATTGACTGTGTTTGTTCAATATAAATTCTACATAGAGGATGATGTTGAATGATGAGCAATGAGACAGCTACCCACCAAAGAACACAGATATGAACAAATGCAGGTCACTGTATGGCTTTGCAATGAAAACAATTCTTTTGGTATGGAAAGGCTATCAAGGGCAAGGGCCCCTGGATAATAAAATATAAAGCAGTCCAAAAAAGAAAATAAATGTTGACAGGATGTACCCAAAAACATTGAATAACCAATATGATTCTTTTCAATAGTATAAAAAATATACTGATTTTATATTTGTATTAAACAGATTCAGCAATGCACAAACTTGAATACAGATGATGAAACCTATCTCATGGAGACTGACGAGTTGGATATGTTAACAGAAAAAGAAAATATTTGTGATAATCTTGTAAGCACAGCTAGTGTCTTTTTAGATATAATTGATGTTTGTTTTTTTTTTGTTTTTGTTTTTTTTTTTTTTTTTGGGGGGGGGGGGGTCCCTAAAATATGAGACAATTATAACAAGGTAAAGGATATTTTAGTCATTTGCATTATTCCAACACAAGAACAACATATTTATCATTTTTTGGGCACATTTCATACGAAAACAAGAAGATGTGGTATAATGGTCAATGAGTCAAATCTCCACCAGAGACCAAACGACATCGACGTAAATAGCAAATGGTCATTGTAAGGTCTTCAACAATAAGCAAAACCCATAATCACATAGTCAGCTATAAAAGGCCCCCAAAAGACAAATGTAAAACAATGCAATGACGGTGGTAAAAACTTTCGAAGTTAACACAAGGTTGGAATTTAGTTTAGTGCAAAAATTATATACTGTATACAGACCATAACATTTAAAAAATCTGTACATTTTATTTCTATAGTAATTAATTAAGTTTGAAAACTAAAAATGTGTTAATGCATTTAGCACATTCAGGATTTCAAAAAATGTAAACAAAATACATCATTATTTTTCAGATTGAAATTTCAGCATCTGAATATACAGTTACATCAGAAGAGTCAGGAAGTCAACATTATTTATCCCAGTCACAAGTAAGTAAAATCCTCAAAATAAGTATTCTATCACTTGTCATTGGTTGAAGTTTATATCATTAACACTTAAACATGATCAATGTGACAACTCAAAACAGAAATAAAAGCCGCATTCAAAAGACATGAATCCTGCAGTATATATTTTAGGCACAATTAGCGGAAATTAAAAGGGAACAGAATTAAAAGAAGAACATTCAAAATGTATAAGCATTACTTTGTTCAACGCCAGTTGTTTGTATTTATGCAAGATTGATTATCAACATACACATAATTCTTTACCGTTGCCTGCGTAATGTCTAGTGGCAAGTATTTGATGCATATTTAGAGTGAAAATAAACACTTTAATACAGTTAAATTAATCGTTTACTCAGGAAATTATTTTGTACATGTACTAATAAACTGCTGTGATGCCTTACTATATTAAACATGTATGAGGATAATGCAGGACTGGCTTCTTGCAGAGGTGTTTTCAAATTTTTTTTCAACAGTTCTGACTTTTTTAAAAGCTCTTGAAATCATAAACTTGTTTTCAGGTTCTTTATTATAAATTTGGGGTTTCAAAAATCACTTAAAAACACCCAAACAAGAGACATTACATCCTGTGGCAAATATTTCATGCATTTTTAGGACAACAGCATATAAACAATAAATATTATTGTTAAGTTCTTTAATGAGAGACAGAAGACTTCTTTCTGGGACTTTAGAATTGTAACATTTTTATTACAGGTATTTGGGAATAATTCTTATATGATTTGCATATTAGGGAATACGTTAATATGATTGGTCGAGAGGGCTTCCGGTAGTGGATCTGAAGTTGTTTATTTTTCGATAGACGACGTTGACAGAACTACTTTTATTAACCAATGTAAACAAGATGGCTGCGATAATAACACAAACCGGTTCAATGTTAAAAATATTTATTTTCACTTCGCGTTCATCGTCAAATTAAACTAAACACAAAACATTTATTTGAAAGAAAATAAGATATTCTTTTAGGTTATTTTTTCAGATAACAAATTTCATGGAGTATATTTTTTGGTGTTAACCCAAAAAAAAATATTCATGCGCCAGGTCAATTCAAAATGCCATAAATTTACAATTTATGTGTAATAGAGGTTACGAGTGGAGAAATCAAATTCCTTATCTCTACATTCAAAGAATTATAAGGATTTAATGCATTTTTAAAGGAATTTATTGGTGTATAAACTGGACCAAGTCACTCACAAACATATCATAAAAGTCCTTTGGACTTTTATTTGTTTGTGAGTGAATTGGTCGAGTTTATACACCAATAAATTCCTTTAAAAAGTCGTTTAATCCTATATTGCGCCTAAATTTGTACAGTTATTAGGAATTTACACTAATCAGGACTCAGAACTTAATAATATTTTTTGGGAGCGAAGAAAGACCGCTTTATTTTTACGGGGTTTCAGTATAACAATCTTTTATTCTCCTTTAGTTTGTTTCCATTTAGAAAATTAAACATTAAAATTAAAGTTGGTGAAATTCTAACTGCCACTAAATAACAAGGGTATATGTATAAGGACTAAAATATTGACGGCATCCAAAAAGAGTTGAAAGGATTTTAATGTGCAGATAGTGGGAATAACCAACTTCCATTTGTCTATACAAAAAACAATAACAACGTGTTAGCTTTAAATTTATTTTATGAATGTATTTCAATCATTCATTATCAGTTTATTCGTCTGTTTAAACCATTCAGATTTCATTTTTGTTTTGAAAGGGAAGTAACTCCTTACTAACCCTATATGGTTGCTAACCCTATATGGTAACTAACCATGTATTTTTTAGGACACCCTATATCAAATATATATAGTCACCACGTGTAATTCATTAACCAATCATATCCCCATAAATCTATAGGAGGTAAGATAAAATATATTATTGCCACTACAATTATCTGAAATAGAATTTGTATATTTCTCATTGAGTTTCCATTGACAAAAGCTTCTGTATGAAAATAAGGAAATGTTGTAAAGTTGTGATTAGACAACTATTCACCAAGTTGTGTACCTTTATAATGTTACATGCAAGCAGGGGCATCATCTATGACCCATGGGCCCATTCCTCATTTATTTAATTGTAATCAGTTTTATACTTCTTTGCAGCAATCAGTCAGAAGTTATGAACGTGGCAGCTACTTGGCATCTTTGAATGATTTCCTGTCATCAGTCAGATTGCAGGAATTCTCAGAAAAAGAAAGAAAAACATGGCAGTCCTACACATTTAAAACAAGAAACACCTACAAAGAAAGAATTGATGAGATTATGAAATTGATAATAGGAATTTTATTTCCAAACGATGTTGACGAAGTAATTGAAGATATAAAATGTCCCAAGCAGTTAAATGAAGAAAACAGAACCGATCATACAGAGTACAAAGATATTGTCACTTCATACAGAAAAGCAGAATCCTGGCAACAAGGGAGACAAGTTCTTTCAGTTCTTGCCTCAAGAATGTCCTTCAAGGACTTACTGTCTCTACTACCAGAAGTAACATCCCATCGCTACTATGCTGCTCTCAGTCATTCAAAGAAAATAGGGCCAGCACTTCCAATTCCCGAGAAAAAACTGCATCGACAAAAATTAGATCCTGAAAGATTAGACTCATTCTTAGATTGCATTACATCCAGTCATGTTGTCCGTGATCTACCGTTTGGGGAAAAAAAAACTGAAGTTTTCAGATGGAACAGTCCACAATTTACCTAATGTTGTACGTTGCATGGGTTCAGCAGACATAATACAGCAGTACAAAGCATACTGTCAGGAAAATGAAGCTTTACTTTTAGGTAAGGCCAAATAAAGATATTTATATAGATAAATAGAAAAATTAAAGGATATCATATGGGGTATCCATCCATGACACAAAATCTAAAAAAAAAACACACACAAAAAACAAAAAGCAAAGGAACAGTGCATTTTAATATTGCTGTTCTTTATCTCAAATTCACAATGACACCTTCAACAAGGTGCAGGTTTAAGATGGCTCCTAGCACTTTCTTGGCTGGAATTCTATGCAAAAATAATTTTGATAGACTTTGTAAAATGCAACACCACCTGAAGTAGGCCCGGTTAAAAAACACATACTTGAAAGAAGTACATATTCAAAACAAATTAGTTCCTTCGCATAGGTGTAAATTTAAAATTATGTGTAGAATATATTTAAATAGTAAGGTATCAGATGAAAGGCGAAGGACTGGTTATCCTTGTAGAATACATATTGACTAATAACATTGAATATTGAAAAAATGTATGAATGAATTCTAAAATGGATCAAATCTACCCTATTTGTGCTACTTGGACATAAAACAATAATCAATCAATCTAAACTTGTTGTTACTGTTTTTTAATAGGTGACAGTACGATGTTCAAAATACTTGCTCAGTGTGGTGCTAAAGTCAGAAAAAGCCTTGAAGGACTGGATTATTTTGTAGCAGAAGGAGGACGTGCCTTTATTACTCTTCAAGATGTCTTAGACAAATTGCTGACCTACGACGCTATATCACCTGATGACCACAAAAGTTTTCAGGCACTGTTCTAACAATCAAAGCAGTATTTAAGGACTGACTATAAGGTTTGTTAGAATTTATTTAGGACACAATTAAATGATAAATAAGTCCATGTATGTGATAAATTCGAAATTGCCATATGTTTTTATGTTTTTTACTTTATTCAGTTTTCTAATCGTTGGGGTGCCAGCATAATATAAATTATATTAATAAAGATTTGCATTCATCCATTACAGAAATTTTATTTAGATTAAATAAACCCTTGATTTTTGTGTCGCCTTGAGGTAGTCAAAAAGCGAATCATACGTATGCTGTTGCCAGCATTGGTGGCATAGTTTGTGATGACATCTAGTTTATTTGCAAACCACTAGTATTAGGCCAATAAAATTGGAACAAATGTAGTTCATTTGTTATTTTATATACCTTCACAGTAGTTATACCCCACGCAACAAGTTGCGGATGGTATAATGTTTTTGACCAGTCTGTCTGTCCGTCTGTCCATCCGTCTGTCCGTCTGTCCGTCCGTCAGTCCATCAGTCCTATTTCTTGTCATCGCAACTCCTCTCAAACCACACAACAGAATTTCACGAAACCTTTTTAGATAAAAAGGACATACTATGTAGTTGTGCATATCAACAGGAAATTAAGATTCAATTTTTTTTCTAGGAGTTACACCCCTTTGAACTTATTTGCTTTAATGTACTACTGCAACAGTTTGTCATCGCAACTCCTCTGAAACCACACAACAGAATTTCATGATACTTTGTAGATAATAAGGACATACTATGTAGTTGTGCATATCGACAGGAAATTACGATTCATTTTTTTTTTTCTTAAGTGTTACGCCCCTTTGAACTTATTTGCTTCAATGTACTATTGCAAAAGTTTGTCATTGCAACTCTTCTGAAACCACACAACAGAATTTCATGATACTTTGTAGATAATAAGGACATACTACGTAGATGTGCATATCGACAGGAAATTATGATTCAATTTTTTTTCTAGGAGTTATGCCCCTTTGAACTTATTTGCTTCAATGTACTTTTGCAACAGTTTGTCATCACAACTCCTCTGAAACCACACAACAGAATTTCATGAAACTTTGTAGATAATAAGGACATACTGTGTAGATTTGCATATTGACAGGAAATTATGATTCAATTTTTTTTTCTTATACAATTTTTTTTTCTTGCACTTATTTTATTTCTCCAATGACAATGTGGGGACGTGGGGTATGTGAGCGCGCTCACTAAGGTTCTTTAATTTAAAATATTTTCAGATTCATATTTCAAAGGGAAGAGAAGTAGCAGATCACTGTATGTTGTATGCCCTCAGTGATGAAAAAGATGAGGCATTTATAGAACAATGTTCCCACAATCACCAGATGGTCTGTGAAAGCTGTGAGCAGTTGAAGGAGACCATTGCTGCTTTAGAAAAGATCTTTGTTACTTCCTCAGTAGATGGAAAAGAGGATGAGATGAATGACCTTAATTTTAGGGTAACTAATTATATTATTTATATGAGCACTTTAAATGTAAAAAAAAGTTTCGATTACATTTACATCTGATCCTTCAAGGAAACTCATTACCCTTATCTATTATTGTTACTTATTAGTTTCTTTTGAATATTTCCTCCAACTATATGAATATATCCATTTTTTTTCAAAATACAATGCTATCTTTTTCAATATGTTAGTTTATGATCAATCTTCCTATTTGACTGGCTATCATTCTGCATAAAATTTTCACTACATAATATAACAAAGGTGTACTTGACTAGATGGAAAGAGCAGCTGTATCATATTTAATTATTTTCGTATTAACTTATGAATTAAACAAAAAGAATCAACTAGTTCAGGATATGTTTAATCAGAGAATATTCAATTTTGAAGTGTGAATGAATCTTCACTAGGCTAATTGAATTTGCAACAGTAAAGTCTACGATTTATGTTTACACTGCTTTAAATAATCCCCTCAGAAAACACCAAAGAAAAAGCATACATTTTAGAAAACTGACATCACCTAACTGGTTATACCTAAATTTAGAATAAAAATTAAAAATATGAATTGATCTTCTTTTTTAGGTACAACAAGCAACAAGAAATATTTTCAGCCTGAAAAAGCACATAATAAGATGTAAAAACCAGGACTTAGCAAAAACTCATCTATTTGAAACTATGCCTACAGATGAAGTTTTACTGGTATGTGACTGGGCAATGAAGTTTTTGCCACGAAAGTTTCGTGAAGATCAGTATGATTGGTTCGGAAAGAGAGGAATCCCATGGCATATATCTATAGCCTTTTGTAGGAAAGATGATGGAAGCATTGGTAGCCTTGGATTTGTTCATTTGTTTGCAACGCAAATATCCCAGGTTAGTACAACTTTTAACATGAATAAGCTATAATATTTATGTACAAATAATTATTTTTTACCGTGAAGATAACATATTGAAAAATATATGGTAGGGCAAGTAGGGAATTTGTTGCAAAATTCAGCTATTAAAAAGAAAGAATAGAGGGTAAATGTACATGAGACAACATAGTTTAAATTAGAATAAATCTGAAAGGCACACAATAAAGCAAGCTGAAGATGGTGTAATATACCTAGCAGCCAACTTGTAAAATATTTTTAAAATATGAAAGAGGAACCATACCATGACAATGAGAAGGAATATCACATAAAAGAAAAAAAGCAAAGACACTGGCTAATGAATTGAATCTTGCCATTGGTGTGATTAAATGTGGTCGGTAAACCGATGTGGTTGTGAGATATCTATTATCTCATTTATCATATTCATAATGCAATTTGATACACTAAAAATAAAAGACAAACTAGTGAACATGTATATCATGAATTAATGTTGAATTAAACATTTGCTTGTTAATTTTTTTTTTTATCTTGGGGTTGGTATCATTAATCAAATAGTGTATGTACATGTAGGACTACCCTAAACAAATCTGTTTTTGAATGCCTGTCCATTTACTTGACATGATACCATCTCCTGAAAACAATTTAGTATCTGTGCTCTAACTTCAGTTGTAGTTGATAAATGCTTATGAAATGGATATTTTATAAAGCGGTTTAAAGGTTGTGATTTATTTTGTTTATAATCTTTTAACAGGACAGCCGAGTAACAGCCAGTATTATCCAAGATGTTATGGACAAAATTAGAGAAATCAACACCACTGACATCAAATTTCATGTATGGTCTGACAATGCTGGTTGCTACAAGTCTACAGAGATGCTTTCATTCTTATTCCATTCAGGACTTATCCTGTCATATGACTTCTGCGAATCCCAGAATGGGAAGGGACCATGTGATCGCACTGCCGCAACCATCAAATCTTCTATTAGAAGATATGTAAACCAGGGTCATGATGTACTTACAGCACAATCAATGAAAAAGGTACAGATAGTTTTAAAAAAACAATAAGTTTCATGTCTAAAAAATCTCAAGGTTACAGCTGTAAATGTACTTTGAAATTCAGAAATTATTGCGAGGTTTTTATTAATGGGAATAATTTGACTGGGTGAGTATAGTATTAATAAGAACTCTCATTCTGATATTTTAAATAACGTCTATATGCACCTTTTGCAGAAATGGCAGTAATTTTATCTCGCAATTTCATTCATTCTTCAAAAATTGCAATAACAAATGTACACAATAATTTCTTAGTTTACAGTAATCTAACAATGTCAGCCCCAAGCAAAACAGTAATCAAGGTTTATTATAAAAGATCCAGAAGAGCATGAGTGCAGCTTTATGAAAATATTTAAATCATGTGGAAACCAGTGAGCAACAACAATAACTAATTTGGTTTTATAAAAGCTGAAGGAATTAGACCCAATTATGGGACAGCTGAAGTTACTTTATTACTCTATATAAATATAAAAACAAGAATCAGTATGATTGCCCATGATACAACTCTCCACCGGAGACCAAATGACATAGAATTTATCAATTATAGGTCACTGCAAGGCCTTAAACAATGAACAAAACCCTTACTTCATTGTGAGCTCTTTTTATGCCACATTTATGGGCATTATGTTTTCTGGTCTGTGCGTCCGTCCGACTGTTCAATCGTCCGTTCGTCCAGCTTCAGATTAAAGTTTTTGGTCAAGGTAGTTTTTGATGAAGTTGAAGTCCAATCAACTTGAAACTTAGTAAACATGTTCCCTATGATATAATCTTTCTAATTTTAATGCCAAATTATAAATTTTATCCCATTTTCACGGTCCACTGAACATAGAAAATGATAGTGCGGATGGGGCATCCCTGTATTTGGGACACATTCTTGTTAAGTCTCCCAAACGAAGTTTGTGAAGACTTATTGTTTTATGCTCAGTTCTTCTTCTTCTTCTTCTTCCGCCGCTTTTTAATTTGAACTTGTCCGCACCCGTTCTCCAAAACCGCTTGTCAGATTAACTTAGGGTTTCACAATATGTTAGACTAACATGTCTAGTGGTGCAATCAGGGTTTTGTTTGTGCAATGGGGTTTATAAAGGGGTACTTTGAGGGGCAAAAAGAAAAGAGGGTTTACTATAGAACCCTATGGGATTTTATTTTTTTAAATTTTCAAATGATTATAAATTGAAAACCGTTTGTGATAGACACAATCTTTTTAATTGAAAATGTTCTAAATGATAAAGCCCATTAAATGAAATACAGGGTTAGTCCCCAGGGGTCACCCCCAACCCCTGCCATTTAAGAAAGTTCTAATACCTTGTAAGTGGTCAAGATCCCCACCCCTAAACCATATATATTTTGGTTTGTTATACTAAGATGGTTTGAATGATATACAGGGTTAGTCCCCAGGGGTCACCCCCACCCCCTGCCATTTGAGAAAATTATAATATCTTGTACGTGGTCAAGATCCCCACCCCTAGACCATATATATTCTGGTTTGTCATGCTAAGATGGTTTGAATGATATACAGGGTTAGTCCCCAGGGGTCATCCTGACCCCCTGCCATTTGAGAAAGTTCTAATATCTTGTAAGTGGTCAAGATCCCCACCCCTAAATCATATATATTCTGGTTTGTCATGCTAAGATGGTTTGAATGATATACAGGGTTAGTCCCCAGGGGTCATCCCGACCCCCTGCCATTTGAGAAAGTTCTAATATCTTGTAAATGGTCGAGATCCCCACCCCTAAACCATATATATTCTGGTTTGTCATGATAAAGCACATCAAATGAAATACAGGGTTAGTCCCCAGGGGTCACCCCCACCCCTTGCCATTTAAGGAAGTTCTAATATCTTGTAAGTGGTCAAGATCCCCACCCCTAAACCATATATATTCTGGTTTGTCATGCTAAGATGGTTTGAATGATATACAGGGTTAGTCCCCAGGGGTCATCCCCACCCCCTTCCATTTGAGAAAGTTCTAATATCTTGTAAATGGTCGAGATCCCCACCCCTCAACCATATATATTCCTATTTGTCATGTCTCGAACATTTGAATGACGTATACGGTCAGTCCCCAGGGGTTCCCCCCACCCCCAATGTTCTAATATCTTGTAAATGGTTGAGATCCCCATCCCTAAACCATATACATTCCTGTTCGTCATGTAATGAACATTTGAATGACGTTTAGGGTCAGTCCCCAGGGGTTCCTCCCCACCCCCAATGTTCTAGTATCTTGTAAATGGTCAAGATCCCCACCCCTAAACCATATATATTCTTGTTTGTCATGCCAAGATGATTTGAATGATATACAAGGTTAGTCCCCATGCATCACTTATGCATATAACTTTACTGGACCAAACCAATTTTCACTGGATGTTGCCCAATGTCAGGCGACCCTGGGAATTACGAATTATGGGAGCTTCGTTTGGGAGACTTCGTAACAGCATCTTGTTACAATTATTTCTTGTTTATTATGATTTTGTATCTATTATGTTATGAGGTTTTTATAATTTAAGTAAAGCTTTACAACCAAAAAAAAAAAAAAAACAACAGTTCTAATCTACTCTAGTTATTTTTCTTCTTATAGGCATTTACAATAATTTCACTTTATTTACAGGCAATAGACAAGTCAGCCAAAAATGTAAAGTACATAGTTCGTGTTATAGAAGGACCTGAGTGTAGGAAAACCAAGTACACTCCTATACCAGCTATATCATCTTACAGTAACTTCACATTTAGCGCACATGGCATTACTGCATGGAAGGCATACCAAGTTGGCACAGGTAAAAAGATAAATATTATTTTCATAATTCCCCTAAACATGAATATAAAAAAAGAAGATGTGGTATGATTGCCAATGAGACAACTATCCACAAAGAGACCAAATGACACAGAAATTAACAACTATAGGTCACTGTACATCCTTCAACAATGAGCAAAGCCCATTTGGAGTCATCATTTTCTTATCTTTTCTTTTTATAATTTCCTAATTATGATCTCAAAACACTGATTTTCTATTGTTAGCTGTAAGCAGTCAATAGACCATAATTTTATATATATGATTCAAGTATTGTCTTTTGCGATTATGTTGAAAACAACCTCACATATTTTAGTTTGCTCCAAGTCAGAATATAGTGTCCAAATATTATTTATGTCTTCCTGCAAACTGTTTCCTTTATGTGGGTTAGCAGGTTTAAGATCCAAATGAACAAGTTTGCTGGCACTATTTAATTCTCTCCCTAACATGGGACAGTGGTGTAACAGTACAACATCAGAACAAACTATAAAAAACAGTTCTGTCTTGTCAGATTGATCAATACAAAGCAAAAAACAACTGACAATATAGACACAGACTAGATGTGGCAGGGATTATATATATCCAGCACAACACAAAAAAGACTCAAAGTAAAGTTATATTCATTTCACACATACATTTCATGTCCATAGCTACAATATATCCAGTTCATGTTGACCAAGTGTAAAACCAAGTGTAAAACAGCAACAATCAATCAATTAATCAATTATTGTTTGAACAGTATTCTCAAATTACAAGTTATATAATTTTATTTTCTACATTTTAGGAAAGCTAATACCTTCATCTAATATTCCAACCGTTGAAAAGTGTATTCTCAATACTTCATGTTCAGAGATAGAGGGTGAAATTGATGTGGTTTTTCACCAACTGCCACTTAAAGCTGAAGAGGAAGAAAACACCATAACATGTGCAAATGAGGGATGCACACTGTCTTTTTCTTCTTTTCATGAGCTGTCAAGCCACTTAATGTTCGGCAAGTGTGAGTTTGAATTTAGGTGCCAGTTTAGTAATGGATGTGACATTACAAAGATGTCTAAGTCTTTTTCAACCAACTTTCAAGTTTCATCAGCAGGACTGACAGTTGGAATTGATGACAACTCAGATTTAGAACTTGGCTGGGCATTGAAAGAAGAAAGGAAGAACAAACGATTCAATGTAAACCAAAAAGAATATCTTACTGAAAAGTTTAATAAAGGTCTAAAAACTGGAAGAAAAGAAGATCCTTTTTTGGTATCAGAGGAAATGCTGACTGAGAGAAAAGAAGATGGAAATAGAAGATTTTCATATGAAGAAATCCTTTCTGTACAGCAAATCACAAGTTTCTTTTCTAGAATGAGCAGGAAGAACAAATCATTTGATGATTCCGTTGATGCATCAAGGGAAGAAACTATAACAACTATCAGGAGAGAACTAACTGCAGATGAACTTAATTAAATTTTGTTTACCAACTTTATGTAGAAAACTAAAAATATTTTATGAACTTATAATATGGTATGATTGTCAATGACACAACTCTCCATAAATGACACAGAAATTAACAACTATAGGTCATTGTACAGTCTTCAACAATGAGCAAAGCCCATACTGCATAGTCAGCTATAAAACGGCCACAAAATGACAAATTTAAATAGGTTAAAGTGAAATTGCAAAAACCATTTGAGCCAATTTGTCTTTCTAAAAAAACACCAATGAGACATCAGATTTCTATTTAGATAGTTATATATATATATGATTCGACTGACTGGCATCAGCAACTTTTCATGCTGCACCTACGATAGAAAGGGGAATTATGTTTTCTGGTCTGTGCATCCGTATGTCCCACTTCAGTTTAAAGTTTTTGGTCAAGGTAACTTTTGATGAAGTTGAAGTCCAATCAACTTGAAACTTCCCTATGGTATGATCTTTCTAATTAAATTGCCAAATTAGATTTTTGACTCCAAACTCACGGTCCATTGAACATAGAAAATGATGGTGAGAGTTTCCGGTATAAGTTTTTGGTAAAAGTTTTTGTTCAAGGTAGTTTTTGGATGAAATTGAACTCCAATCAACTTGAAACTTAGTACACATGTTCACTATGATATGATCTTTCTAATTTAGTATGTCTAAATGCCAATTTAGATTTTTGACCCCAATTTCACAGTCAACTGAACATAGAAAATGATAGTGCGCATGGGGCATCTGTGAAGGATTGACACATTCTTGTTCTTGCTTAAATTAATAGTGAGATTTGGATTTCCTATGATATTTCCAACCAAAGACAGAGAATGACTCTTGTGTTTTGTTTGCACAGTGTTTTAACATCAGTGCAAGGCTGTAGTATATTATTTCAAAGTTTAAGTGAAGTGAGCTGCACCATGTATTCATTTTCACAGGTTCAGACTAAATTTACACTGAAAATTTTCATAATTTTACCACAAAACTGTTATTTACAGCCTCTTGATATTTGACTAGGTCTTTATCTTCACTGACATGGTAACCTTCACAACACCCTTTTGTTTGATATGTGCTTTTTGAAAGGATACCGGAGTAAATCTTTGTATGCAATAGCTATAAAATACATACTTTTGTTTTTTTTTTTTTTTTGCTTAGGGTCATATAAATGGTTACCACAATCTTAAATTGACATTTATCTCTTCAAATAGTGTTAAATCAGTATTTAGATCCAATTGAACTAAATTTTCTTCATTTATAACTTAAAATTTGCAAATTTCACAAAAATGTTTTTTTTTAGATATTTTCATTCATTGCCATGATTGCCATGGCACCGCATTTTTTTTTTTTTTTTAGAGAAATAACACTATTCCAATTTTTTGATATTTTGGACTTTATGCTTTATGCATTATATATGCATTATATTAAGAACATCTGTCGGTGCATTTTTTCACAGTCTATTATTAAAATTGGTAAAAAATACAATTTTCCAGAAATTCAAAAAAAGTCAAAATCAAGGTTTTTGGCAGCATAAAAAAACTGTGATAGCAACTTTTTTTATTATGTTATGTATTGTTATTATATGCCTAGATCATTGTCTTCGTGATGACAAATAAAGAATATGACTTCAGAACAGTATGCTTTATGTTTTACATGCAAAAAAAACGGTAATTTCACTGATTGAAAGACTCTTGTAGAAGCCTTATTTGGTGATGTATGGTAACCATGGCAACCGCAACTCTGTGTATCAATATTATACCAAATTTCGAACAAGGGTGACATATGAGTATTAACTACCAAGTTTCATTGAAATTTGAGGTCCTCACTTTCCCACCCTATATCAGAAATGTTGATGCTTACAGAGAATGGCTCTTAAATGAAAGACTTTAGGAACTTTCAATTGAGATCAATCTGATTTCCGAGCCCAAACAGGATTCAAAAAAGGTTATAGTACATTGGATAACATATTTGTATTACATTCATTAATATCAATTTATCAAGCTCTTGGAAAAAAACTCACTTTTGTTGATTTTTCGAGAGCCTTTCACACAATCTGTCATACATCTTTATGGATAAAATTACAAAAGGCGAATATTTCCGGGAAAATTTTTAAGGTAATATATAGCATGTATAGTGATGTTAAATCGTGCGTTAGGAATGGTAACGAAGTGTCAGCCGATTCTAACTGTAACATTAGAGTGAGACAGGGAGAAAATTTATCTCTCTTTTGATTTGCTGTTAATCTAAACGATCTTGAGTCTTTCTTTGCTGAAAATGATGTTCAGAACTTGCAAGTTATGGAAAATATTTGCCGCAATTATTTGCATATTTAGATAAAACTTTTCGTTCTTTTGTACGCCGACGACACTATAATTATATCTGAAACGACCGAATCAATGCAACACGCCTTAAATGTTTTTGAAAGATACTGTGTCCGATGGAAATTAAACGTTTATTTATCGTATACAAAGGTTGTTGTGTTTTGCAGACGGAAATCAGGAACATTACCAAAATTTCAAATATTTAACCAGTCTATTGGAATTCAAGATTTCTATCCACATTTAGGACTAACTTTAACTACAATGGTTCATTTGAAACAGCGAAGAAACGACTTAGCGAACAAGCACAGAAAGCACTTTTTAGTCTTTATACAAAGATACGTAACCTCTCAATACCTGTCGATTTACAATTACAACTGTTTGTTGCACTTATACTTCCAATTCTGACATATGGGTGTGAAATATGGGGATTCGGAAACAATTACATGCTCGAAAAGATCCAACTACAGTTTTGCCGGAATGTGTTGAAAATTAGATCCTCGACATCACATTTTATGACATATGAAGAATTTGGTCGTACACCAATAGATACCGTAATAAAATGTAGAATGGTGTGTTTTTGGAACAAACTTCTCGCCAATGAAAATAAACTAAGCAGTATAATTATCAAATTATGTTACACTTAAAAGATGATCACATGTTCAAATGGATTGACTACATTACATCGATTTTAGACAATTCCGGACTTAGATATGTTAGGACTCAACAATTACCATTAGATGTAAATCAACTAAAATCATTCTGAAAGAAAATCTTAAAGATGCATTCATTCAACATTGGCATAGTCAAATTGACAACTTATCCAGAGGATAATTTTATGGTCTTTTTAAAACAATGTTTGGCTTAGAAAACTATCTTCTACAATTATCACCAATCGAACGTGAATATATTTCAAAATTAAGATGCTGTAATGTAAAAATTCCAGTAGAGCTGGATAGATGGTACAATGTTCAAAAAGACGAGAGGACATTTAATTTGTGTTTAAATGCTATTGGTAATGAATACCATTATTTATTTGAATGCAATTCTATATTAGTAAAAAGTATCAGAAATCAGCACATTCCAGAATACTTTGTTAAATATCCCAGTGCAGCAAACATTAAAGAACTACTATCATTGGTTAATATTACTGTACTTAAGAATGTATCTTTATTCGTTTCAAAGTTAACGAAAATATTATAAAGTAAAGTTATTATCAATATATTTCATTTCGAAGTTGTTCTATTTATTTCTAAGATTGTATGTGATTGTATTTTGTATGTATACACCTCTTGTTTCACATGTCCATGTGACGGATTGTTTTTAAATAAAGCATATTGAATTGTAGTGTATTGTATTGTATTGTAAAGAACAAATACCACGATCTGATAAATTATGGGCTTTCAATGTACACTAGCATTATTTTAACCCGTTTGGGAAAGGGGTCTTGATAGGGACAGTAAACTGACAGTAAAACGGAGACAAATTCATTTTTCAGTATCTATTTTCATATTGAAATTCGTTCAGGCCCTATTCCAATTCGTTTGAGGAACTTATCACTGGAAAAGAACGAGTGAAAATGGGGGAACACATCTTACTCAATAAAGTTTGAAACTATACACGTAGCGTACGTTTTTTTTACGCAATAAAGATAAAAGCTTAGAAACAAATTATACAGTTTCACTCGTTAAAGAAATGTAGTACTGGACAGGAATGAGTTTAAATGGCGAAATTTGTTTTTCTTTTTTTTTAAATTTGCATACAAAAGCTGTCTATTAATAATATTAACCTATAATACAGGTATGAGGAGTTTAAAGAAATTAAGTACAAAATTTGAAAACGCCAAACAACAGTGTCTTGTAAATATGTCACTTGCAATAGTCAAAACGTTATTTATTTAAATGGATCTTCATTACAAGAAGTTAGAAGAAAACACACACATAATCAAATGATATTTATATACATATATTTCGGTATTTTTTTTATGTATGAGGCGGTCTATTGATGCATTAAAATCCGGGTTTTTTTTTTTACTATCAATGCTGAACTATACCTACGACGTTTTATATTATAGGACTTTCATCGTAGTTGAAACAGGGTTTTTATTCCAAAGGAAGCCACGGTTTGCAATGAAAGAGATATATTTTAACGTTTTCAATTGAAATTAATTGAATGGAAAATTTCCAGATTATTGACAAGACAAGTCATGTGTGTAGATTTCTTAAAATTTTCAACTGGCTTCAACTATTGCAAACAAAACGAACAGTTTATTAAACATTTTAGCTAAAACAATAAATCTTTATTATTTTTGTATTCCCAAGGAAACGTTTTGTTTGTTTGTAAAGCTTACTTGTATGTGGTTATTGCCATCACTAGTCACTTCTAAGTATTAATGATACACGGACATAATCAACATGATAATTTGTATTCAGTATAATCATCGGTCATGCATGACATATCCCAGGAAACAGCGCGTGCCGATTAAAGCTTCAATTACTTCTTAAATATTGAATTGATTGTATTTTGACAACAAATATAAGATAAAAAAATACATTTTCTATCGAATGCATACCCTCAACGCTCACTAAAACATCTATTACATGTCCTGAATGCACTTTGTATGTCCCGAGTGCACTCAGGAGGTCCTTAGCGGTTTTTAAACGTACCGCTTGGTAGCAAGTAGCAAGCCTCTATCAAGAA